CATAGCTGCTGGACACATTCGAGAGTATCTGGCTGTGCCCCATATCACAGCGCTGCTCGACTTCCTTTTAAAAAAAGTTTACTGGCTTTAGGGATTGAATTCAGGACCTTCACATTGAGCTACATCCCCAGCCATTTTATTTTTTATTTTAACACAAGGTCTTGCTAAGTCACCAGCTTTCTCAGGCTGGTCACCTACAACTTGGGAAACTCTTGCCCCTGCCTCCCAAAATACTAGGATTACAAGTGTGTGCCACTGTGCCCGGCTGCATTGTTCACCTACAGACTGCAAGTAGGAACCATGGAACCGGTAGTCATATATACCAGGGAGTCCCAAATTGGAGCCAAATTTTCCAGCTTTCAGGCTAAAAGGCAAAGATCCATGTATATACACCCCATGGCCTGATTAAAGACTTTTAAAGACTAGATTTTTCAAAGTAACTGTATGAAACATTGCACACTTTGCTGATGAAGACTATAGGCATCAAACACAAGGCTCTTACTGCCTAAAATAGAAGTTGTTAGTGTCTATCATTTACATATGGTAGCAATGGGTATAAGTAGTATAGAGTATTACATATAATTTTTTACCTTTCTGACATCCTGTGAAGTTGACACGTAGCTCAATTAAAGCAGAAATGTGTAAGACAGTAAGATTGTACAATTCTGTGTGGGTAAAACTGAGCAATTATGTAAATAATCCTCATTGTCCACTAAGAATCAAATAATACCATCAGTACATATTTAGTGGATCATACAAGGATACAAGTTTTTTCAGAAAAGGTTCATATTCTAGGTGACAGGCCTCTTCTCTATCAACTCTACTTTTAGGAATAGATAATAAAAGAAATGTGTGATTGGCCATTAGATTTAGTGAAAAGTATGCCCAGAAAACCTGTTTTACAATAAGAAAATATTTAGTAATGAAAGTCCAGTTAAATAAATTTGAGCAATCATAAAATGCAATGCTATGAAGATAAAAAAATTATATTGGAAAAGTTTATTCATCTCAACATACATTTTGAGATGTTTGGTGAAAAAAGTAAAATGAATATCCAAACTGTATGCTCAGGGTAATAGAGTTTTGATAATTAAAGCACACGCATACATAAAAGTTCTGTAAATATGACAATTATTTTAAAATAACAGTAATTTTAAACAAGACAAAAGGAATGTTTGCTCTTCTTACTGCTTTTCAGTTAAATTTTGTTTTATTCTGAAACAAACCCCTATAACTCATGCAATAAGAAAGTATGCCAAGAAATTTTAACAAAGGAAAATTCCTCCATATAGTAAATGTAATGTAATAAAAAGAAACTACAAAACTCCCTCCTGGGCACTATTTGGATAGGCAATGTGAAAAATCAAAAGAACAAATCAATTCTGCATTCCTACAGTCCAGAATTCTATGCAGCAACCTAGAGATGAAGGATGCAAAAGGTAAGGTACCAAATTCCCCCATAACATCAGTTTTCTTCAAGAGACACCCCCGAGGGTGTCTCTGAGCCCTTGTTCCAATTCCCCTGTGTTTGGTTTAAGGATATTTCTGGGTAGAGATTTTCCAGGGGTCACCCCATCATGACAAAGACAGGTTCCTGTATGTCAACTTACCTGTCTTCCACTGGAGACGTTCAGAACCTTAGTATTTGTGCATCCTGCTGCCTGGGTGACTCTCCCTCTTCCAAATATTCCATTCTCTATGTCTTGCGTAAGTCTCAAATCAAATAGCAGTGCTCAGATAGACCCTCCTGGACTACTGTCCAAAATAATTACAACTGCCTACACCACATCCTATTGTACATCTCTTTTATTTTTCTTCACAACATTTACGGTGGCCTGGTGTGTGTGTGTGTGTGTGTGTGGCGCATGCATGTATGTACAAGTGTGCATGTGTGTGAACTCTTCATTTTGTTTACTGCAATGACACAGGCATCTACGACAGTGGTTTGCAACATAATATGAACATATGGAAATTTTATGTGAATGAATAAACGATTCTGCTGCACCGCAGTTGAGATAAAACATATCTCCTAAGGCCAAGATCACTTTTAGTATCAAGAAGGCTATGAAGAAAAGAAACCCAGAAAGGCTTCCAACCTCCCCCTTAATGAAAATGAAATCTTGGCCATGGACCAAGTAACCTGGAACACTGCACTCACTGAGTATTGAGGAAGATCACATTGGTTGAAGGATGCGTTAGACCCATGCTATACACTGCAAGCCCAGGGCCTTTGCACATGACACTCAGAGGCTGGAAGGACTGTTCCTATGGTCATCTAGATAAATTGCATCCTCTCCCTTGGATCAGCATTAGGCAAAAATGTGGGAAAGTTTGAGTAATCAACAAAACTCATTAACACAACTATCAAAATGATTCAGACCTATGTCTTTTAGGATCAGAGTTAATCATTTCATACCTGGAAAAGCAGGCCATTCTAGGATAACTGGTTTCTGCTCTACAGAAATCTTAAATCTACACATACTCTGTCTACCTTTGGTCTCCCATCTTCCCAAATATCCCATTTCATGGTGTAGACCTTCCTCATGAGGATTTTCTCCACAGTGAATTTTACCTTCTCACTTTTCAAGTAACCTGTAACCTGTATGTCCAGAGAAGCAATAGTCTAATTTTTTATGTCTTATGCATTATATTTATTTTATGACATTCAGTGGTATGGGTGCTTTGAGAGCTCACATAATTTACAGCCAGAGTTCTCCTCTAGAACATCAGAGTCCTCTAGGACATTTCTCCCATAGGTAACATCTCCTTTAGGTATCAGCATGCTAGCCAAATAGAATCTAACTTGAAAATGCCAGCTCTTTCATTAATGATTGAATAGCTGACTGAGGAACTTCACTCTAGCAGTAAAGTTTGTCTATAAATCTACAGAGCTGTGTTGTTTTCCATGTGGCCAGGACAAATTCCACTATTCTAGATATTTTCAATGATGCTTCAGGTCTTTACTATGCAAGAAAGGAACCATAAGCAACACAGAATGAGATGCAGGCTGGTACCTAGGTCTCTCAAGGGTTGAAGCTCAGCCAGATATGGGTCTAGGAATCTCATCAGGTGAAAGGGAAGTAGAAGCTGCAGGCTGAGGTATTCCGATGTGGTCAGAAGTTCTGAATGAAAATCCTGAGACAGCTGCAGACACTGCAGTGGGCATGAAGAGCAGATGGAAGATGGTGGTGAAATGCAGCCAAGTGGTAGCACAAAGCCCAATGGAGATGCAAAGGAACTCACCACTGTAGCTGCTGGTCAGTTCCATGTCCAGGAATAAGCAGATCACTATCTAGGAGCAAACTTTTCAAATGAAAATGACCTACCACAGATACTTCATCACCTTTACCACTTCCTAAATAAGGGAGTGTTCTATGACAGTGGTCACCAAGCTGTTTGTCTCCAGGAGCCAGTTTTGTGGAAGACAATTTTTCCCTGGATCTAAGGGTAAGGATGATTTATGGATTAGATTCTCAAGAGAAGTGTATGACACAGATCTCCCTCATGCTCTCATAAAGTTTGTGCTCCTATGAGAATCTAAAACCCAAGCTGATCTGACAGAAGGTGGGACTGAGGCAGTGATGCCAGCAATGGGAATGGCTGTAAATTCAGAGAAAATTTCTCTGGAAAACCCATTGCTCACTTCCAGTTGTACAGCCTAGCTTTTAATAGGCCATGGACCAGTACTTGTATGTAGTCCAAAGTTGGGAACTTCTGTTCTATGCCATAGCACTTAACTTCAATTCCCACTTGCATCTGCAGGATCATGCAGATCAATGTAGTTATAGCTACCCCAGCCTGTTAGGCTCTCATTATGTGGAAGGTGGGCAACACTGAGCAATGCAGCCAGCGCTAGTGCCACCAAATCCTTCACATGAGGGGATAGAGGCAGAGTCACTGCTGTGCTTCATCCTGTCCCAACCTGATCCAGAGAGCTGCCTGTAGGCATCTCTTCCCAGTTTGGCTTTCAGTGACTCTGAGCATTGTTATCAACTGTCCCTGGTGAAAGTTTTCACACTATAGAATTTGGTAAAAGCTGGAAATCAGGGTCTCTTTCTTCTTCCCCTTGAGAACTTGTTTAACCTTCCTTAGCATACAACTGGACAGAATGTTTTGTTTTGTGTTTTCCATTGAAGTTTATTTTGTCTTTGTCATATCTACCAATGATGTGATTTTTCTACCTATTTCAGGCTGGCCCTTTTGGAGACCAAGGGCTCCCATGCATTAGCAAAATCACCAAGATTCGCACATGGCGGGGGGACCTCTAAATTCAAAATATGTGTTCACCTTTCTCAGATGAATTTAAACTTCAAGTTTTTATCCAGGGTGATGGTGCACATCTGTAATCCTAAAATCCTTGGAAGCTGAGGCAGGACTGCAAGTTTGAGCACAGCTGGGCAATTTAGCAACTTAAGGAGAACTTGTCACAAAAAAAAGAATGAATGAATGAATATCACTCAATGCTAGAACCCTGGATTCAATCCCCAGTAGTACAAAAGAAAAAAAAATCCAGTTTCTATGTTCTTCAGTTTCTTTTGATGCCATGAGGTCTCTGTGAACAAACCATGGCTCTTCCAGGTAACAGCCACAAACACATATATTCACAAGTTCAAGTCATCTGCCTGGACCTTGGAGAATGGTTGGTAGCCCAGCCAATGAGATAATGTGAATAGACACTGACTCTAAACTGAAACAGATAGTCAGAGTCAAAACTTTTTCGGTGGCTGTTGAAAGATTGGCAGCGCACGCATATTCTTAAAAGTCCCCCCTCCGTGTGTGACTGAGAGATGCTGCCTTTATCATGACTTTACGCCCATTTCTAAATTTGTGATCTCAAACTTTTGCTCTTCAATATCCTGAGACGTAAAATCTAACTCAGCCCAAAGTTCAAAAGTGTGATTCTTCAGGATAAAGAAAGTCTGCATTAGAAATTCACTTAGCATAGACAAATCAGAGCAGGAGTATGAAGACATTACAAGAAATTTAGGATGATTTCTGACCTCTCACTTCCGTCAGGGCATCCCTAGGGTTTTCTTGTCTTCTCCATTCTGAATCGCATAGCATTTAAATGATCATTTTGTTTCTCCCTCCTGCTCCCGAATCTAAACAACAAAAGAAGGAATTTAACCTCATATCCTCGCTCTGAAATTAGCTCTATTGTCAAAAGATGACAGCTGTATCCTGATTTCAAGAATTTCATGTTGGAATAAAACAGCGTTTTTGCAACCATTGTGCTACTTCAAACAGATTCCTAATGGTCCCTCGGCAAACCATTTTCAGAAGACTTGGGTAAGTAAGATAAAAAGACACCATTTCTAAAGAGTTGCTTTTACGGGCTAGGTCAGAGTGTTCTTTCCATATTGCTCATTCCCAGTCGAATTTCCTAATAGTCTATCTCCTCCGCTAACAGATGCCCAGCCTCATGTCGGAACCAGACCGCCCCACCGCTGAGATGCTATCCAGCGCCTTTCTTATTGAGCCGTTTCCCTAGCAGATGGTGCAAGGCTGCAGGCACACTCCTTCCTGTTAATTACCAGCCTTCGCTACAGATGGAAATGTCAGTCAGCCTCACAGGTCCTGGTTCCTGCCATTGCCTCAGCCCATAGCCCTCTACCTAGGCAAGATGCTGCCAACACACACCATGTGTTTTGTGACTGCTGACTAGGCAGGCAACAAAAAACAACTTACTTCATGAATATTCATGGCGGAATGTTTAAAGTTCTGTTCATCTGTGATGCTTCTAGATCCGCTTAAAGGGGATTGTACCTTCCTAAGAACACTCTATCCCTTGTTTTCCTACACCAAGGATGCGCCGAGGTACCAAAGTGGGTTGCCATGGCAACATGGGGAGGCCCACTAAATGTGGGCCATTCGGAGCCCGGAGCAGACACATTGACTTCGGATTCACGTTCTTCTCCGAGCTTTCAGTGTCGCTTCATTATTCTAATCCTGCCATGACAGGTCAGGAGTCACCAAGCTGGACTGATTGGTTTTCATTAAACCTTGATTATCTCACTAGCACTACACAGCTGATATGAATTCGCTAATCTTTCTGGGTGTTTCAACATACTCAATTGAGAAAAATGAATTCCAGCAGGGTCATTCTTTATCCAGGAAGACAAACTGTTTTATTATCCACAGAAAAGCCTTTGGCCAGCATAGATGGATATCTTTTCAGATTTAGAGGAGGACACTGGGGCTGAAGGTCTGAGAATAGAGAAGAGGGAATAAGGTTTCCAGGCAGCATGTGACTGAAGGCCTCACCTGTCTTCTCAGGGATGCTGTGTTTACATGAAAGGCCATGGATGAAAGGCTATGGATGGTGATGGAAGATCCTGGCACAGCTGGATGTTCTACCTATCCAATAGCATTTCCCTTCTCCATGACATGGGAACATAAGAGCTCCAAATCTTCCTCTGGAAGACAAACTTATCACTTCCTGGGAATGGCTCATGATATGGGTAAAACTGAGAAGTAAGTTTCCTGAATACTAAAGATGGATTCCTTTACAAAATGTGAATTAATTTTTCTGTCTTATTTTGTAATTAGGATCCACCCTGTTGGATTTCTAGTAGGAGGAGAATTCCCAGGGTCCCTTCCAGAGCTTCTGGGAAGTGTAAGGTGAAGAATGGTAGTAGAACAAATTGGGCAATGGCCGTCGGAGCTCTCAGGCATAGTTTGTTCTTTCCTAGTTCCTGTTTGGGAAGCAGATGTTACGTAGATGCTCTTCATATTTTACAAGAACAGGAAAGACTGTTTAGGAATCTTCAGATAGGACAGAGGGGAGTTGACTTTGAATGCCTCTCCCAGGAAATGCACTACATGTGTTTCCTGAGGTCCTAGGAAAGGAGGGCAAGGAGAAGACATCAGGAGTAACTAGAGCTCTTTATTCTCTTATGCAAAATTCACTATGATTGCACTTTGCAGTGAAGCACATGTGCAAAGGTGTACAAGTACTCAATTGTTTAACAAGCTCATCAAAAAATAATGTTACTACATATATACATGCACAGGATTTATGAATGTTCATATAAGGACACATAGATTCAGAATTTTTCCACAGAATGTTTTCATCTTCTAGGCAACTGGATGAGCCCAAAGAAGCATCAAATATGTGCAATCTAAGGATTTTTGAATTGAATTCTAAAAACAACTCCAAAAAACTAACCACTGTACATAAAAGAAAACAGAAAGGTTTTCCTTTATCTATTGTATCTTTGAAGATTTCAGAGGAAATAGCAGCAATAGAAACAAGTTAACAAGAAACTGTTTGGAAGGTACTGGAGATAAATGAAAATAAAGTCTACTTTCTGACTTTGATCTGTAGAGATGGCAATAGCTTGGCTGCATTGTCATTTGCAAACTGACCTTTGTAGAATGGTCCTTCTTGACCAGGATGTACCCTGAGGGAGGGTTCCACACTGTCCCAGAGTAACTAGGAGAGGGAAAGTAGTGAACCTGTCTATAATTTTAAATATAGAAATATCTAAATCTCTGATAGAGAAAATCAAAATCAAAATCAACTGAAAAGTAAATAGAAAAAAGAAAATCACCTCAAATGACCAAATGGAGCATTTCCACCCATGTTTATCATGTAATTAAAGTAGTAGGATGTCATTTTCTCTTACAAAAATGAAGACCAAAGAAGTAATTTTATTATTATCTGTTTGGATATATGAGATAGATATGCCTTCACACTACTATCTACTACTCTTCCAGAGTTAGTTTGCCATGTGTATCTAGACCATAAACATATATAGTATTCTGAGCCAAGACTTCCAGAATTTGAAGAAAAACTCAAAAGTGTGAACTAGAATTGTTTGTGAAATGAGCAAACAAAAAACACCAAAGTTCTTTTTATTTATTTTTAATTTTTATCTATTAGTCCATGTTTGCGGTACCTAATGGTCACATTCCTTGTGGAGAGCTGGTACATAACAAGTTTGAATTCTTTTTCACCCCCTTCCCTTTTGCAAAAGATCTCTTGTGCTCCCTGTTACCTTTTATCTTGCTTTTTATTTATATTTTGGTTTTCTCCTGTAATAAAAGTCATACAATATACACAATTAACCTTGTGTGGCTAATTTCAAATAGAGAAATGGTTAAGTAAATCATGGTCCATCTTTCTACTTATTTGTATATCTACCTACTTAATTAGGGAAAATCAACACAGGAAGAAAAATATCAAAATATTAATGAGCAATTATTACTAACTAAATTTTAAAAGCCACTTAGAATCTCTACAGTCTTGCATATTTTCTCATTTTCTACATTAAGCAAGTATTGTTTTTATAAACAAAACCAGCAAACAAAGTTAATTTAGAAGAGTAATAAGTTGCTTTGGAAGAGAGCAGGCTTTGGATCCAGAAAGAGCTGGAATTACTTCCAGCTTCATGTCCCCATCATTTGTGCAGCGGTAGCTAAACATTTCTTGGTCTCTGCTCTGTGTTTTTCCGTCTTTTCAAAGGGATAATGACAGGACATGTAGCAGGTCACCACAAGAGACCACCTTGCAGAGCATGTGACATATCAATTCCAGGCCACTTTCCCTCCTCCTCCCAGCACCTGTGAATGCCCCATGGAAGGAAACCAGAAGACTGAAATGTGATCTTTCTCAGTCTCATTAATTCTCTCAGAGCCTCCTCCTGAGCTCCTGCTTTGGCAAGACTGAAGCTAGCGGAATGGACACAAAACCATCCTGTGTGAGGCCTTAGTACTCTCCTAAGCATCTGTTGGGAAGGATCACGCTCTTCAGGTTGCCAAAAATCACATCATCCATGGTGTCTGCCCCAGGTGTTCAGGCAAAACTTGAGATAGAAAGTGCTGGTGGAAGACCACTCCCCAGGCACCGCACCTCTGATGGGTGTGGGCTTGGGAGCCTGTAGCTGAGGTTGGGAAGTAAGACCCGGTCATTGAGAAGCAGCACAAAACTTCTGCGGGCAGAGGCAGTAACAGCTGAAGATGCATTGCCGGGGTGGGAAGTAGGATCAGAAAGCAGAAGGAAGAGAGCACAAATGTGAAAGAAGAAAAAGTGCAAAATCTGCTTCTGGCTATCGGATGAAGCTGATGTAATCCAGTCTGACTCCAGGGATGGTGGCAGTGCCAGCTACGGAGGCCACATGGCTTCTAATGAGGCCAGCCGAGCCACAGCTCAGGAGAGAGGATGAGCAGCCAAAATTCACCAAAGGACAGAAGCAGCCGTGACAGCTGGTGAGTGAATTAACTCCTGGAAAACCGAGGGGACCCAGGTGGAGGGATACTCTGAATCCTTCCCTTCTGGGGACACAAAGAACAACACATGGTGGGGATCACAGCCACCATAACCTCTTTGTTTTATTTTAGTTTCCTCTGACAGTTTTCTTTGGTAGACAGAGAAAAGGCAGAGGAGGAGGAGATTCACGAAAACTTGACGGAACGTGGGTCAGTGATATACCCGTGTTGAGGACCGCACAACAGAATGGGCATTTCAGAACCACACAGATGACGGAAGCTGACTGATCCAACTTCCAACGTGGGAGAAGAGCAACTTCCTAGGGGATGTGAACCCTTAAGAAAAAGCCCATTTCTGGAACTCCAGTCCCCACCATAATGCTGGAGCCCCAATGTTTGCAACTTGGTATTTGACATATTTTTTGGTTTGGCCCAGGACATCTCTACTGGTTGCAATTTACCTGCGCATGGATTGGGCTGCCGGCGTGAGCAGCTGCTCCAAAGGTGACCTACTGAGGCTTCAGGGTAATCCTGGGGATGATGGAAGTGCGTCTTGTGCTACATGGACACTGAGGGTGCGTGGTGCTCAGATACAGCCCACACAGTACAGTTTGAGCCCTGTCCTGTCACATCTTGGCCACATTTCTAAATTGCAAGCCTGGGTCTTCATGCTCAGCAGTGGTCTAAAGAAGTGCATTTGGTGGTGCTACATACCTATAAGACCAGTATTCTAAACACTAAGGCAGGAGGATCACAAGTTGGACCACAGCCTTGAGAAGGATGCTGTCTCAAGATAACAAAGAAAGGACTGAAGATGTACCTCTGTGCAAAGCTGCAGGATTCAATTGCCAGGACCACGCACACTGAAATGAATTTGCAAAATAGC